CCAGTCAGATGGCTAATATCAAAAAGACAAGAACTGGGGTGTCTGTCTGGTTCAGTCAGTAGAACATGTGACTCTTGATCTTAGGGTCATGAGCTCAAGCCCCACGTTGGGCATAGAGCTTAAAAAAAAAAAAAAGACAATAACTAAGGACAAGGATGTGAAAAAAGGGAACCCTCATGCACTGTTGGTGAGAATGTAAACTGATGTAGTCGCTGTGGAAAAGAGTATGGAGGTTCCTCAAAAAATTAAAAATTGAGTACCATATGATCCAGTAATTTCACTTCTCGAGATTTAGTGAAAGGAAATGAATACCTAATTTGAAAAGATATATGAACCCCTATGTTTATTGAAGCATTATTTATTTACAACGGCCAAGATATGGAAGCAGCCTAAGTGTCACTGATAGATAAATGGGTAAAGATGTGGCAGGCATACACAATGGAGTACTACTCAGCCATAAAAAATGAAATCTTGCCATTCCCAACAACATGGATTGTCCTAAGAAGTATTATGCTAAGTGAAATAATATAGAAAAATACAAATACCATGATTTCACTTATACATGTAATCTAAAAAACAAAGGAACAACAAGAAAAACAGAAACAGATTCATACAGAACAAACTAGTTGTTGCCAGAGGGGAGGGTGGGGGGTGATAGGTGAAATAGGTGAAAGGAAATAAGAGGTACAAACTGCCAGTTATAAAACAAGTATGTCACTCAGATGAAAAGTACAGCGTAGGGAATATAGTCAATAATATTGTAATAACTTTGTATGGTCAGAGATGTAACTACACTTATCGTGGCGAGCATTTTGAAATGTACATAACTGTCCCAAATCATTGTGCTGTGCACCTGAAACTAATGTTAAATAGGTTTCAATAAAAAAAAATGAATCCATCTGTACAACCAGCACCCAGACCAAGAACAGAATATTACCAACCCTTCATAAGCCCCTCTCATGCTTTCTCAGTCACTGACTAAACTCCTACACCCCTAAGAGTAACCCTATCCTAACTTATAAGAATGGATTCCTCTAGTATATACCATTTTGCATCTGTCTTTTTAAACTCAACATTGTTAGATTCAACTGTTTTGCTTGGAATAATAGTTTGTTATATTGTATTCTATTGTATGACTGTATCACATTTTACTGTTGATGGATATTTGAATAGTTTGCAGTTTATGTTTGCCAGCATATGGTGTTGTCAGGAATGTTCTTGTACATGTGTTTTGGTGATCATATGTACTAGACACATAAGAGCAGCACTAGTGGGTCATAAGATATGCTATTCCAACTTCAGTGGGGACTGTCACAAAATTTCCAAAGTGGTTGCATCCATTTACACTCTCCAATATTGTATGAGAGTTCCAGTTGCTTCACGTTTGCTACATTTGATACTGTCTGTGTGGGTGTTTTTTTTAAGCCACTCTGTTGTATGCATGTCAAGTTCTCTTTTAAAGCTGAAATTGGAGGGGCACCTGGGTGGCTCAGTCTGTTAAGCATCCAACTCTTGGTCTCCCCTCAGGTCATGATCTCAGGGTTGTGGAACTGAGTCCCATGTGGAACTCTGTACTCAGCAGGGAGACTGCTTGGGATTCTTTCTTTCCCTCTCCCTCTTTCTCTCCCCCACTCCTCTCTCTCAAATAAATAAATAAAATCTTAAAAATAAATAAATAAAGCTGGAATTGGAAAACAGAACTAACACCCTTTAAAAAACTAACTGGTTGGGGTGCCTGGGTGGCTCAGTTGGTTAAACCACTGCCTTCAGCTCAGGTCATGATCCCAGGGTCCTGGGATCGAGCCCCACACTGGGCTCCCTGCTCATGCAGGAAGCCTGCTTCTCCCTCTGCCTGCCGCTCCCCCTGCTTGTGCTCTTTCCCTCTCTCTCTCTGTGTGTCAAATAAATAAATAAAATCTTTAAAAAAATAAAAAATAAAAAATAAAAAACTAACTGGTTTAGGGGCACCTAGGTGGCTCAGTCGGTTAAATGTCTGCTTTCAGCTCAGGCTCCCTGCTCAGTGGTGAGTCTGCTTCTCCCTCTCCCTCTGCCTGCCACTCTCCCTGCCTGTGCTCTCCCTCTCTCAAATAAGTAAATAAAATCTTAAAAAAAAAAAAAACTAACTGGTTTATATCATATGAATTTAAGTTTTTGGAAATAACAGATAAAGGATAAAGTCCACAGTTATATCTGAACTGCAGTAATAATAAACACTGGTGATAAATAAAGGAACTCTTTCAATTTTCAGTATCAAGTCCGACATACCAGAGAAAACTTCCATTTCAACTTCCACAATTTACCAATGTTGGGCTGTAAATTAATAAATATCCTTTATTTTTCTGTGCATCTATATTGTTTGATTTTGAAACTTAGTCTAAAAAAAAAAAAGAAATTGATCTTGAGATGGAGCTGGAGGATCTCTAAGTGGTTTAGTGGACTGTTTAGTGAGTTGACCCCCTAAAAAAGAAGTCACCAAACTGTGTATAAAGAGCCAGGCTGTAACTATTTCAGTCTTTGCCAGCCATCCAGTCTGTTGCAATTACTCAGCTCTGCCCTTGAAAGTGGCCATAAACAATATGCAAATGAGTGAATGTAGTTATGTACACTCCCGTGTGCTCAGTATATATGCTCACTAAAACACATAAGAATGTCCGTAATAGCACCACATGCTGGAAAATATAAACTCGCAACTACCCAAATGTCCCTCAACAGTACAGTGTGATACATTCATACAAGAGTATTATACAGCAATGAAAATAAAGTACCCTTGCAACTTTATTTACAAAAACTAGCAATGGTAATGAGCATGAGATTTCCTTCTGAGGTGATGAAAAAGTTACAGAACTAGTGATGACTGTGCATTATGCATGTACTTAATGCCACTGAGTTGTACACTTTAAAATTGGTTAAAGTGGTGAATTTGAAGTTATGCATGTTTTACTGCAGTAAGATAAACAGGTAATGGATCATATTTGGCCCATGCATGGGCCAAGCTTATTCCCGTGAGAAGTCATGTACTATAATGATTCAAAGCAGTTTGTTACCAGACAACCTATTTGAGCTCTGGCTCTGACACTAACTTTATACCCTATGCAAGTTTCTTTTTTTTTTTTTTTTAAAGATTTTATTTATTTGACAGAGAGAGACACAGCGAGACAGGGAACACAAGCAGGGGGAGTGGGAGAGGGAGAAGCAGGCTTCCCCTGAGCAGGGAGCCCAATGCGGGGCTCGATCCCAGGACCCTGGGATCAGGACCTGAGCCGAAGGCAGACGCTTAACGACTGAGCCACCCAGGCGCCCCTACCCTATGCAAGTTTCTTAAACTCACTGTGATTCAGTTTTTAATCTATAAAACAATATAATACAAATATAGGGTTGTGTAAGGAATAAATGAGTTACATTAAAGCATATACAATGGTTCCTGGAATATGTAACAGTGCAATAAATGTTAGGTGTTATCATTACTTTTGAAAAATAACATCTTGAAGTCTGAAAAGAGAACTCTTGGATTTCTGGCTTTGGTGTGGACCAGTTGGTTAGTTGTTCTCAGAGCCAGCCTGCGGGTGCTGGTACAAACTTATCCCTACTACTAAAGCAACTTTTTCTACGCCTACATGAGAAACAAAACAATACTACATAGGACCATGTGACAACTTGTGGTATTTTAAGGTTTGTCAACTATAACCCAAAAGTATATAAAATGCTAAGAAAATATGAACATTTTTCTAACTTATTTTTATGGTCATCTAAACTTTTAATCAGGCCAGTTTTAAAATCCAAATTACAAAAGAATATTTTAAAATAAAACTAATATTTAAAATGAATAATTATTTTTACCATTAACCGTAATTTGCTAATGGGGAAACAAGCCTCACTGGACATTTTTGTCAAGAAAAGATATACTTTCTCTGAATGAAACTACAGTATACTGTAAGCCAAATGATAATGGAAGTGATTTAGAAACAATGAAGACCCAGAGGGCATATTAATTCTACTCAGAAACATGAGTTACAAAGTTGAGCTTTGGAACCATAATTGGTGGTAAGAAGTGCTAAAATCCCCCAAATCCAGTGTTTTGCAATTATGATCAATGATGATATAAACGATCTTAAACATTTCTCTTGGTACACAAGTACAAGATTTCCTATGGGGTATATACCAAGGAATAGAGTTGCTGGGTCATAGGGAATATGCATCTTCAATTTACTAGATCACACCAAATTATCCAACATGATTGTACCAGTTCTCTATGCCCACGTACAGTTCCTGTATTGACAGTCTCATTAGTATACTGATCAATGTTTAATTGTCAACGTCTAAACGGATGTTTCACTGTGATTTTACTTGTCCATTTTTAAAATTAAGGTATAATTTACATACAGTAAAATTAACTTTTTAGAGTACAGTTCATATTTTTCATCTCCTTTCCTCTGCACTAAATTCAGAATTATTTCTTCACATCTTTTTCTTCCAGTTCACTAATTATCTTCAGCAGTATCTAAATCTATTGATTCTGCTGTTTTTAATTTTAGCAATTTTAGTTCTCCTTTGTATTTTTTTTTCTTTTCCAAATCTGCTTGGCTATTTAAATTTTAATTCGTTAAAATTAACTAAAACTTTAAAAATCTGTTGCTCAGTAACACTAGCCAGAGTTTAAGGGCTCTAGAGCCACATGTGGCCAGAAGCCATTATACGAGACAGTGCCTGTGTAGAACATTTCCATCAACTCCAAGTGTTCTATTGGATAGCTTTGTTCTAGAGATCTTTGTTTTTCCTTCTGCCACATATCAATAGGCATCATCAGCCTGGGAAACCACTTGAACTTCTTAAGGGTTTTTGTTGCTGTTGTTGTTTTTAAACATGCAGGTGGTATGAAATTGGGCCGCAAAAATGAGTGAAGCCTAGCTTGAGACTAGGAATTCTTGGGGAAGATTTTTTTTCACTGTTTTGCTGTGGGTCTGAAGATATCCATGGATAATAGATTCTATTCCTTTGCTCAGATGATGAGAGTAATGTTGCAATCACCAGACCAGCTTCAGAAAGCCCCTGCGTGCTGAATGAACCACAACCTTTGATCTTACCTCGAGTGCCACATTTGAAGGTGCCGGCCATCACTTCAAATCCAGTAAGCCCCACACAGAAATGTACTGGGGAATCTAGAACTGTTCTTGCCAGAAGCTTGCTCAGTTATTTGCCTTAATTTTATTATTTATGACTCAATTTTCTTTCAGTAAAGTTATGTGTTTATCACAATAATCCAATGACTCTTTGCATTAAGTTTAAAAAATTAATAGTGGGGGACCTGGGTGCCTCAGTCGATTAAGCAGCCCACTCTTGATTTCCACTTGGGTCATGATCTCAGGGTTGTGAGATGAAGCTCCGTGGCAGGTTCTGCGCTAGGTGTGGAGCCTGCTTAAGATTTTCTCTCCCCTCTCCCTCTGCCCCTTCCTCCAGCTCTCAGTTGCACATGCACACATGCGCTCTAAAAGAAATTTTTAAAAAATTAATAGCAAATTAGGGTTGATAATTGTCAGCTTTTTTTTTAAACAGATGGCCTTTTTTTTTTTTTTTTTTTTTAAGACTTGACAGAGAGAGCGCGAGAGCACAAGCAGGGGGTGTGGCAGGCAGAGGGAGAACACTCCTTGCTGAGCAAGGAGCCCGACATAGGACTCAATCCCAGGACCCTGGAATCATGACCCCAGCCGAAGGCAGATACTTAACTGAAAGAGCCACTCAGGCGTCTTTTTTTTTTTTTTTTTAAGATTTTATTTGCGAGAGAGAGAGAGCATGAGCAGGGGGAGAGAGAGAAGCAGGCTCCCTGCTAAGCAGGGAGCCCAGTGTGGGGCTCAATCCCAGGACCCTGGGATCATGACCTGAGCCTAAGGCAGACGCTTAACCAACTGAGCCACCCAGGCGCCCCTCATTCGGCTCTTTTTTAAAGTCGTCCATAAATTATGCATATAGAATCAGCTATGTGGTTAGCCTGTCTGTTTGGGGGAGAATAAAGGATATGACAGAAAGGGAGACCAATCTCAGATGTTCTGTGCCCTTAACATCCTATCCTTTGAATTTCTCCATTTGACTCCCTTTTATCTCAGCCTACCTGTTTTGTTTTTTTATATTTGAATCTGTTAATTTTTTTGCCTTTTGGGTGTTTAGTACTGGTTAATAACAGAGGTGTAAAAGGCAAACCAAAGAAAGGAAGAAGTGGTCCCAATGAAGTCTGTGGACAAGCATAAACATGGCCATTTCTTGCAGAAGGCTAATGAGCCTGGTCTCATCCCTGTATAATTTCTCTAGTCCCAGTTTCTACATGATAGTTTTCCAGTGTTACTTGTGGCAAAAAAAAAGGCAGGGAAGAGGGCAGGGGCATTCTAATCCTTGAGCCATGCTCATCAACCCTGGGTTTTACTACCAGACCTAGTATTTGCTTTGGTGATATACTGGCCTGATACTGTCCTATTAGATTTACAAATGGGTTATTTAAAAATAAAATCAGCAAGGCCCATCCATATTTTACCACACTGGAGAATTAACCAGGTGAACTAATGTTCCTTTGGTAGTAATAACACTTCTAACATGCTGAAGTGGTCTATGGGTTAGGTAGCCTAAATTATGAATAATTAAATGTTTCTGGCTGTTAATGACCAAAGGAAAGAGAAGCATTAATTCAGATATTCCTGAAAGAAACTAGGAGGGAAATGCATGCTGTAGCCAAGGAGATGACCAGAAAGGGCACGGATGACTGACAGAGAAAATCAACAACACTCCAAGGTGGCAATGTCAGTCCACGGAAGATTAAATCCTGCTAGCACTAGAGCTCTTGCTAATAAGTCTTCAGAATTTAGGTTATAACTGATAGCTGACTGCTCCAGGGGTAGTGAAAGAGAAAGGATGTTTATGTAGAGCATACTGTTTGACGGTAAAAGAGATTATGTCAGAGTTTACTCTTGTTTCTATATTTGTTCCGTATTTTTTCTTCTTAGGTTTTCTTTCCTAATGTATGTAATGATAGTAATGAACTTCTCGCTCCCCTATCAGAGTGGCTGAAAACTGCTTTCATCTCAGTTGATCAGGCTTCCCTGACCTGCTGTCCATCTTGACAGTGCACTTGGGGCCCCAGCTGGGCTACTGGCCAAAGACGTTACAAAAGTTAAGGCATAGGAGAAAGATGTACGGATGATCTAATTTGAAAATATTAACTTTTGGCAAAGTTGGGAAACCCGGCAAGTGTCTTTACCAACCAATAACACTTTCCTTTGACATATAGATGAATCTCTTTCAAGCAGCAAGTGGTCATCAGCCAAATGTGAATGGTCTCTGGGTTCATGGGATGCCTCTACAGCCAAGAAATCTCTCCCTAATGGACAAGCTACTGTAAGAAGTGTAAAATTTTAATAGACTCTAGAATTTACATAGATCACTAAGAAATAAAAGGAAAGCTAAATCAGTCAATCATCATGCATATATTGAGTACCTACCAAGCAACCACAGAGACATCTGGGGAGTAAAAACATCTCAGGGAAATGGTTTCCACCCTCAAGGAGCTGATAATGTAACTGGAAAGAGAAGACACACACGGGTAAAAAGAGACTTAACCATATATGGCATTGTTGTGACTGAATGTCAAGTGTGTGGTACCCAGAGTGAATGCATGACAGTCCTAAAGGGAGGCATTTGGGTGGGTAACTATAGTATGAATTTTTCCTTCAAAGATGGGAGTTTGGATAAGCAGAGAAGAGCAACAAGACTATTCTAGGTAGGAGGAGTGATGTGGGAAAAGGTCTGGAGACAAAAAATACAAATTATTTAGAAGGGAAAGCAGACCAATTTTTTTTGTGTTTGTTTTAGAGATTTTATTTATTTATTTGACAGAGAGGGAACACAAGCAGGGGGAGAGGGAGAAGCAGGCTTCCCGCGGAGCAGGGAGCCTGATGTGGGGCTCCATCCCAGGACCCCGGGATCACAACCTGAGCCGAAGGCAGACGCTTAACGACTGAGCCACCCAGGTGCCCCAAGACCAGTTTTGCTATATTAAGAAAAGGGACAGGTCAGAATTTTAATGCTTCTGACCAAAGATCACTGACAATCTTCCAGAATTAAAATATATCGTGGTGTGATGAGTGGGGAAGAAGACTATGAAATTAACGAAGGTTGAGACCAGACTGTACGGTTTTGAATGCCATGTTTTTGAGATCCATTCATGTTATTGCATGTGACCTTTTCTTTTATTGCCAAGTAATATTCTAAGAACACACCACAATTGTTTTCTATTCTCCTGTTAATGAACATTTGGGGTGTTTCCAGGTTGTGGCTCTTATGCATAAAGGCACCATAAACATTCTTGCATGGGTCTTTTTTGTGGCCCTATGGTCTATTTTTCTTGGGTCAATATGTAGAAAGTGTCATAGGATAGATAAGTGTATGTTTAACTTTATAAGAAACTGCCATACAGTTTTCCAAAGTAATCATGCCATTTGACACTCCCACCAATGTATGAATTTCACTAGGGAGCACACTCGTTTAAGTCAGGAATCTGAAAGACAGATTTTACAGCAGAAGAACATAGACTGGATTGAAGCAGGAGGAACTGAAGGTAAAGAGTCTAAAATAGGAGTTCAAGTATGAGCTACTAAAAGTCTATACACAAGTTGTTGCAAAGGATAAAGGAATGGAATATTTTAGGAGATACTGTAAAAGAAATCAGATTCCATAAAAACAGAGGAACCAAAGTCAACTCTGAGATCTCAAAGTTCAGGGGAAGCTCGTCGTGGGGTAAAGATAAATTTGGTTTGGGGCGTGTTGAGTTTACAGTGCCAAGCCATCTCACCAGAAACATGGAACAGGTCAGATCTGGAGGTTGAACTAGAAGTTACCGGGCTAAAGGTAATAACTGAATCCAGAATTATGAATGAATAGTCCAGAAGACAAGATAAGCGTAGAGCAGCTAAGGCCCAAAGCTTCTGTCATAGAAAGCAGTTAGGGTGTGTAAAGAAAAGGCTAATAAGTGAATGGTTACGGAGACAGGAAGACTAGCATGATCTCTTGTGAGTAATGCATAAGGTTTAGCTCCATTTCGTGGTAGGTATTTTCCCTTCAAAGTCCTCCAAACACTGAGGTATATTTTGCACTACAGGATACCAAAGCGGACTCAGAGCTTGAGGAACTTGCTGAAAGCCAAAAGAGCATGTGGCAGAGCTTCATTCTTTCACTTTCCCCCCATTTCCTTGTCCCAAACACTATTTCTCAGGTGTCTTACAATGCAAATATCTCATCCGCCTAAAAAACAAAAACAAAAACAAAAACCTGAATCTGTAGGGCAAAGTTTAAGCTACTTAGCTGTTTGGACATGGCATTCTACTTATCAGAGTACTTCCAGAAAAGTGTTGTATTTCAGTTGCTTATGCAGATAGGAATCTACTGTAGTCCCAGTGCCCTGTGCAGCACAAGGCTCTGGGGCCCTTTGCCTGCTTCCAGTTTTCCAAGGAACCCAAACCCCTACCCCTGCAGGCTCCAACGAACTCAGCATTTTAATCTTTGAGTGGGAGCCTCACTGGTGTCACACTGCTCCTAAGCAGTAATTATTTGCCCTTCAACTAAGTCTTTCCTTCAGCACAAAGAACGCCTCAAATATGGTAGGGATCTCAGTCCCTGAGGTGAACTCTGGGAGCACCCTAGAGCAAGTAATCTTCAGGTCAGCCCTCACTGTAACTGAAGAAGTGACTGTCATGGCAGGTGAATAATGGACTTGCTTTCCCAAATCTCCATTCTAGTAAATTACCTGTATGACTAAAATTATGTCCTTCCTTTAAGAATACATTCTCATGCCTGAGCTAGATTACATGATGTGTATAAACTAGGTTACTTACTTTTGTTTTTTTCTTCCTTAAATATATTTTAGAGTCTAAGCCTTTGAGTCCTGTTTCCCTATACAGAGCAATGTTGATTTCATTGTGAGTTTCTGATTTGGCCACTAGAGATCTCGATGACAAGTTACTTATGAGACCTGGATCCAGTACCATCCTTTCAACTCGAAATTGGCCAAATCGAGGCCTGGAGCTTAGTACATCGGCTCTGTCATACACAGTGCAGTCTGCCAGGAGACGCAATCCCCCACCACGTACCCTTCATCCCATCAGCACAAGCCATTCACATGCTGGAATGCCAAGACCTGTGGAAGAAATCCTCAGAGGATCCCGAGTGTAGGTTTCAAAAGCAGAATTTTTGGAAACTGTGGTAAAACTAATGAAGAATTTTATATAGAGAATGAATATAAATGTAAGGTTGAAATATGTGTCTAGGAACTAATCATTACATATTCTCATGATGGACTACACCCTGGTTTAAATCCAACAGAGAAAGAAATATGGTCAAATCCGAATAAAATTCAGATATTGGATCCTTCTGTTAATTTAGCTAAAGATTTACTTCTACAACAAAATGTTGGCTAGAATACTTCAGTGACACTTATCGAAGAAGATATATGTATCTTATCAAACATTTTCCTGAGTACATGCTCAGTGAAATTCATTCCCAAACAAGTTAACTCTCCTTTAATATTTTTCTGTACCACTGGGATCTGCTTATTCCATTGACAACGATAACATTCTAACCTCAGATAAGTACTTGTCTATATACTGGGAAAAATATCCTTTAGCACTTCTTAGGAAATAACACTAACCATACTCTTTCCTTTTCCCACCCTTAATTCACTCTGAGCTTTGTCATGCAAAAAATACTTAGAAGCCTATTTTTTTAAATAAAGTTCTTCCATTAGTTGTTGATTCACAAAATATCTTAGGATGTTTGATTCTAAGACTATGATCAAGGCTATGAGATAATATAGCTGTAACTGTTTTGAATTCAGCTTCTTAATTAAGCACCTCACTATACTTCCCTCCCAACATGTTATTTCTTGACTTTGATTTTTCAGTTTGTTTTAATTTATCCCAATAGATTCACTAAGAGATGTCCATAACGCCCAAAAATCTTTGTCAGAACACCGGAGTTCTTCTCACCTACTCACTATTTTATTATGTTGATGTTGGTATTGATATAGTTACAGATTCACTTACTTGAGGATAAGCAGTTTTGAAGTATAATTAATCTCTCATACCTTCTGACAGTGTCTTCTGGGACATGAAAGTATCATTGATTTCCAGGTACTGTCTTGAATATGAGTAATGCTACAAACTGGAAGGAAAGTTTAGGAGCTTTACCTGGGAATTATAATTACAGCAGTCCCCCCTGACCAACAGGGGATATGTTCCAAGACCCCCAGTGGATCCTGAAACTGCCGAGTACCAAACCTTATATGTACTATGTTTTTTCTTATACATACATACCTATGATGAAGTTTAACCTCAAAATTAGGTATGGTAAGAGATTAACAATAATAAAGAGAAACAATTATAATAATATACTGGAATAAAATTTATGTGAATGTGGTTTCTCTCATATCTTCCTGTACTGCACTCACCCTTCTTGTGATGATGTGAGATGATAAAATGCCAACGTGATGAGATGAAGCGAGGGGAGTGATGGAGGATTGTGATGCAGCACGAGGCTACTAGTGACCTTCTGACAATATGTCAGAATGAGGATCATCTACTTCTAGACCCCAGTGACCATGGGTTAACTGAAATCATGGAAAGCAAAACAGTGGATAAGGAAGGACTACTGTTATTAGTGAAAAGGACAACCAAAAGGCCCAGAACTGTGGAGAATTCCACCAGATGTGAAATTACAAATCCTTAATAAGTTAACACCAAAATGGTGTAACACCAGATAGGGAAAACTATTTTTGTCCAGCTCTCTCTGAGACAAAGGGTCAACTTCTGCTGTGTGCCCAGGATAAAGTTTCAACAAAAATCAGAAAGTATTATGAAAAGCTCCCCCCAAACTGATTTTCCAAAATCCTTTCACTGAGCTTGCTTTAAAAACATAGGAAGCTTAAAGCATTCTGTGCATGACATTAAACTCATCCCCCTCATTTATTTGACTCTAATCAGTTTGCTTGTATTGTTTTAACTTTATGCTTTCTTATCTTGGTGTTTGCTGGTGGGATCTGCAGCCCAGTAGCAGCTGAATCGCTCTCTCCCTCACCAATGCCCCTGAGTCGAAACAACCTGCTGCCCCCTATCGGCACAGCTGAAGTGGAACACTTGAGCACTGCGGGGCCACAAAGGCCAACGGTAGGTCTTTCTCCTATTGCCTTTATATGTGCTTAAAACCTCAAGGACAGTAATTCTGCAGGATCCGTGTTCTGGAATTAACTTATACTGTATTTTGTCCAAAGTACAAACTGAATCCTAACTTTGTAACAATGGAATTGGAGTTCCTTGGCCTGCAGTTACCATGCCTACTTGGGTTGATGTAGGACATGCACAGCTCTGGCTACAAATTGTTTAATGGTTTCTATAATTTTTGTCTTCCCTGCAGAAAACCCATGGTGACTCCAATCGAGCTCGAAGTGCAGTGGTGGATGAGCCCAACCATCAGCAGCCCCAGGAGAGGCTCCTTTTACCTGACTTTTTCTCCAGGCCCAACACAACTCAATCATTTTTGGTAGTGACATACTTCCTCTATGGTCTTGACAGCTGGGGAAAGAAAAAAACTAGTTTGGCAGACTTAAGATTTCACATAGTGCCTTAATCAACTCCAAGAATAAAAGCGGAGGCTCTTAACAATAAAAACTGTAATAAGTACATTTCATTGAAATTCTAACTGGTCTCTGACATTCAAATAGAATTTTAAAAAAGGTAGGGTAAAATGAAGAATAAGGTAAAATGCCTTATACCTGTCACAAAGTTTAAACAATTTAAATTGTTAAATATTAAATATTTCTGAGAATAAGCAAAACAGTGTTAAACTCCAATACATCAAATCAGCATAACTCTTTCTCTAACACTGCTCTCATGGAGTTACACCAAAAGTGGTATCAGATTATGCTATGGACTGATGGATGGCAAGTCAGGACATTCATTTTTTTAAATTGGTGTTTTGAGATGCTTACATCACCTTACCATTTAATGTGCATTTACTGGCCCCTTTACTTTTAAGCAAGTAATAGAAAAAGCTTAGTAGGGAGGTTGGATGTCATGCACTGATCTTACCCAATTGTAGGCCAGCCACTCAGCCCCACCTCATCTGCTTTGTGGCAAAAGGATTTGAAGAGCCTGGGGAACTGGGGCCACACTCAGTGCCCAGGAGTCAGGGGCCTCAAATCCTCTACCACTTTTCAGGATGGTGGTATTTGAAGCCCACTTATTCCAACTTATAAACCTTGAATTGTATCAGCCTAAAGCACTATACAATTCTCCACTAGAAGAGTGGTGAGAACAAATGGGACAGTATAGTAGTATCCTAGGGCTACCATAACAAATCACCACAAACTGGGTGGCTTAAAAGAGAAATTTATTCTATCAGTTCCAGAGCCTAGAAGTCCAAAATCAAGGTGTCAGTAGAACCATGTTCCCTCTCCAGGCTCTAGGGAAGGATGTTTTCTCATCTCTTCTTGGCTTCTGGTGGTCACCAGCAATCCTTAGTACTCCTTGGTTTGCAGCCACATCAGTCCAATTTCCGCCTCTGCCTTCACAGAGCCTTCTTCCCTGTGTGTGTCCCAATTTCCCTCTTAGAAAGATACCAATCACTGAATTTATGGCTGACCCTAATCTAATATGACCTCATCTTATCTTGATTACAACTGCAAAGATCCTATTTCCAAATAAAGTTACATTCATGGGTTCCAAGTAGACATGAATACTGGCGGGGGCAGGGGATGGGGGACGCTATTCAACTCAGCAGACCTCAAGATGCTTTATTTAGGGGGCAACTCACCAAAACAGGAGCTAAAGCGAAATGTGAGCATTTCTGATTCTTAATGTGAATCCTAGAGAGTTTTAAAACCTCTATTAATCTTCTCAAAATTTGATTCAGAGCATTTGTTAAGCATTGTTTGATGATTATATTCTACAGCTAGATTCTCTAAAACACATTTAATTTTTGGTTGCCTTAGCAATTAAACTAAACAGATGAAGACATTTCAGTTTCTTCTTTTTCTGATGTTTATAACCAAAGAATTTCATTCCTTAGCTATTTCTCTCCCAATTTGCTGTCACGCAAAGGAAGATGAGCTGGTAGCTCAATGTAACTAAGCGCACTAGAGCCGAGTCCCTGGTTTGTCACTTCCAGACTAGTGCTCTGCTCTTTGGTGTTCTCACCTAGAAAAGGGATCAGCAAACTACTGTTATGGGCCACTTGGCTTACCACAAAAATTGCCTGTTTCTGTACATAAAGTTTTATTAGAGAAGAGCTGCCATACTCATTCAGGTATGTACTGTCCATGGACCACTTTCCCACCTCAACAGCAGAGTTGAGTAGTTGCAACAGTATGTACCACAAAGCCTAAAATATTTACTGTCTGGCCCTCTAAAGAAAAGAAGTTTGGTGACCCCAATAAAAAAAGATGGGGCTTCACCAGAAAAAAATTCCTGAAATCTCTTGATTGCAGTTCTCTGACAGGGAATGGAGAGGAATGTTTTTTATTCCAGAAGCACCAGCAGGATAGCACTGACAGCTTTTTTTGATATTTGCATTTCAATATTTTAGCCACGTCTTAAAATCTTTAAATTCCTTGATGTAATTTTGAAATGTTTCATATTGAGAGTCACATCTCAAGTATGGAGGTAAAGTCATGTGCATTTCAATGTTGCTGAAAAGGCTCCATTCTGTTGTTTTAAACAGCAGACAGTCCAAATTAAATTCCCTTGGCAGCCAATTAAAAATGCTAATATTTAAATATTCTAAATATAATATTTAAGTATTAAACCATATGCATTATTATAAGTGCTAAGATTTTCTTAAAGACATATTAATAGTTTTAGAACTTAAAAGTTAGAAAAGCAACTTAAAAATTTTTTACAAGTTAACAAATGGTTTTGTGGGCTTCCGGCTTGGAATTTTTTACTGTTAATACAAGAGTGTACTCAGCCACCTTGTCCCTCAGACTGTCAATGCCATTTACATGGTTGTCTGATTTCAAGGTTTTTCCTTGTAAACCTACTAATATATTATCCTTTGGGAGAAGTCACATCATAAGAAGTGTGTCATCTTTTCTTTCTTTTGCAGCCAGATACACAGTATCATCATTTGTGTGCTGTTGAGTATCCTCATCAGGCCCGACCTGGTAGGGGATCTGCAGTGACAGGTGGGACCATGGCTTTTATTTTACTACGATGTGGATATGTTAAGACCCTGCCTTTGTTTTCAATGTTTATTTTCCCTTCCTCCAGATTTTATTAGATTTTGTTTCCCTACATCTTTGTAAATCACCTCAAATTCCTTTTGGAAATGGGATAATAATATAGAGAAGACCTCTATTGGTCAGAGCCAAATTCCAGATTTGTTTTCCCATATGTAAATTAACTTCTCACCACTCTGGCAAAGTAAGCTCCCTTTTTTTTTTTAATCTAAAAAGAGCTAAATAAGTCATGTTTATAACATTCAAACACTGCATGAATTTTATTATGTTGGCAAAATCCATATTGCTATAGAATAAACTGCTGTGGTCAGTTGACCTGCCAGGCCAAGGTAAAAAAAAATTCAAAAATGTCAAGACATGCTGAGTCTGAGTCCATCCCATTAATTTATTTCTAAGTTATATTCTATAGATTGTATTTTCACGGGAGGGGAGAAAATTTAAGGATTATCTTAATTCTTCCTATAATGATATATTCACGACCATCAGGATCATTCTCATGTTGTAGGTGAAATCAGAAGTATTAGGCAGTTGAAATGTTTCCTGTTAATAAGATTAATCCACAAGTTACATTAAAAAGTTATCTGCCTTGGGCGCCTGGGTGGCTCAGTTGGTTAAGCGACTGCCTTTGGCTCAGGTCATGAACCTAGAGTCCCGGGATCGAGTCCCGCATCGGGCTCCCTGCTCAGCAGGGAGTCTGCTTCTCCCTCTGACCCTCTTCCCTCTCGTGCTGTCTCTCATTCTCTTTCTCTCAAATAAATAAATAAAATCTTTAAAAAAAGTTATCTGCCTCAAACCATCTCTGTCATCCAAGTGAATTCTCTTGTTCATTTCCTGTTAGCATTGTTTGGTAGTCTATGAATGCTTTCCATGGATTCTTTCTTGGATTAGTCCTCATAGAGAAGCAATGCTGAGCTAGAGTTAACTACATACAGCCTTGTTGACAGTCATTAACATTTAGATAAGTCAAACAGACATATTAGTCCTTTTTAATCAGTAGCCTCTTCTCTAATAGTTCATTTTTTTTTAAGATTTTATTTGAGAGAGAGAGAGAGAGAGAGAACGCAAGCTGGGGGGAGGGGCAGAGGGAGAAGTAGACTCCCCACTGAGCAGAGAGCCCAATTCAGGGCTCAATCCCACAACCCTGGGATCATTACTTGGGCCGAAGGCAGATGCTTAACCGACTGAGCCACCCAGACACCCAGTGTCCTCTTCTCTAAAACTAGATTTCATATCTTAATACAGTTTTTCTGGTTTTAAGTGATAAAATAATGCAAATGTGGTTTTTATTGCCTTGATGAATATATACTTTACTACTTAGTCCCACTCTCCAAATTTTTAAGTCCGACTGATAATTGGAGCAAAAAAGCCCTTAGATATGAACTTGAGATTACCAAATCTAGAATGTCTACTAATGTTACTCTATGATGTCATCTTTGTCTGACAGGTCCTCACTTACATGGGTCTACAAAATCTCAAAACAGAGGTGGACCAGTCTCTAGAACCAGGCAGGCACCGTAGGGCAAATGAGAAGAACCTGCTCCAGGCTGCAGGGAACATGTGAGAAAAATTCATGGTCAGTGTTCAGTCATCTTGTGACGCAAAGCTTGTATACAAGAGACAACTTAAAACCATCTTCATGAAGTGTTAATCTGATATAACTGACAGAAAAAAAAAGAGGATCCGCCAAAGATTACATGGATACTGTTTCCCTCTCCAGTTCCTGTCTTCTTTCAGCATGTTAATTTATTCCATTGGACTTAAAATTTGTACCCAAAGATGTAACAAATAATTATCGCCAAAACTCATGTTGTCTGTTAACTATGATCAGCTCAATGATTATAGGATTCTATGAGACTATACATACTCAAAAAGCAGCAAATAATTGTTTGATAACATTATCACCGGCTTTAGAATACTTCTGCTTGTATGAATTTCTGGAGAGTTGTACTCATTTTTAAGGCATGTTTAGGAGATAGAGCTGTCAAAAATCGGAGTTACTCATCAAACAGATGTCATTCCTAACTTTCTCTTTTAGATGTCCAATCTTATAGGTAAAGAGATAATGGAAGGGCTAAGTAACTAAAGACATAAATGTGGAGCACTGATATAAAGTAATTTATGTAATAAGTCATAATGTATATACGTTTTCAGATAGGACAGCTCAACCTCACAAGGCCTGCTTCCTATCAGATTATGCTTCTTTTCTTCTTAAAGGACCTAGTGGTCATATATATATTTTTTACTATTAAACTCATCTTACCAGATTTTCTCCTTAAACTCTAAGTAAACTTAAAAAATTTATAGAATCTATTAGTGAGCCAGCAATACCTTAACATTTCAGAAAGTCTGGTAATTAGTTTAGTATAAACATATCCTAATAGCAGAAGAACAGAACTTCAGCATTCTTCTGATTTCACCATGGACCTTTTTTGGAGGACACTCATAAATGCAGCAGTGGTTTTAACTATGGCTTCAATTTATTTTATTTAAATTTCATTGAACTTTAATTTACTGTAAATCTTCAGAGTGGATAAACTCAAATAATCATAAATAGGGGTAATTTTTTAATTTTATCTAAGTGTACTAATGCTATCATATGAAGACAGATGCTTCAAACAACCTGCATTAAATTATATTTTAATACAATTAAAGAGTATTTTTTAACATGTTTGTAACCAAACTAAAAATGTGTCATGTGCTTATCTCAGATAAATTATCATACGTAAAACTCAGTAACAGAAAGGTTGTTATATATTCAATGCCATATGCATAAAAGTCTGTTGCCAAAAAATGTCCATATATTCCAATAAGTACAAACCAATTTGACTAAATGTAAGTAAACATCTCTATACCATTCTCACAAATCAATACCATGAGTGCATGATAACAAACCACTGGATCAAGATGGCCTGCCTTTAAAAGTTAACAGAATCAGAAGGAGCCCTTAAGCAGTCATTTAGCCCAACTCCCTCACCCTTTTATAGATGAGGCAACAAGTTCAAACAAGGTCTGCGACCTGCTTAAGGACAGACTTTCAATAATTACAGATAGGACAACTTCTCTTTATGCTACTTAAATCCGGCTACCCACTATAAAGCTGACTTGGTTTACTTTTCTCTCCTCTCTGAACACCATTCATAGTTTTTCTAGACCATAGTTAAATGATCACTGAGATCATTTAAAAGGCCCCAGAACTTAACAGTCATTTTTAACTTATTTCATCATGTGTAAGTCTTACAAAGATGTCTGAAGTAATCTCAACATCTGTTTCTCCTATATTTCAAGCAAAGAGTACAAAACCTGGCTGAATAAAACAAAAAGGAGAGAGGATCTATTCAAGGATATTAAACATGAAAGCAAACTGGCAAATATTTTAAAGACACATGACCAGCAAGGGTTCTGAAAGCGTTCTAGCTAGGTAGAGTTACTGTTCTAATAAACACAACACCCTGAATACTCTATAGCTGTGTGTAGACTCCTGCGTGGCAAAACGACAACTGCTGAAGGCAGTATGGGACAGACCCACATTCTAGACAAGAGATCCTTGTACAGAAGATCCACAGACGCAAGTGCTGCCAGGAAGTATACCACTCTCCCCCATTCCCTCAAGAATCACCAAATTCCTTCATGCAGGACCTCAAAGAATGTCAGGGGATTTCTAGGACTACCAAAATCAGGTTGAGAGATTCTGCTTGGTTTACAGAGTTGAGCTGAATAACTCCTGGAAAGAACTTTTTTCAAGGGCAGGGTTGACTTTTGTCTTCAAATCTTGACTGTATCTTGCCTACAATGGCACCAATTAACACCTAAAGGCTTTTGAAGAGAAAATTCCATTATTTCTTTTCTTTCTTGAGAGGCGTTTTTTTCCCTCCTCGCTTAGGTTTGCAGTACTTTGCTTCCATCTGAGCCAGAAAATTGTCCATTTCCTTTTGCCGATCCTTTTGTCTGCTCTGTTTAAGAAGTTAAAACACAAGCTTTCAAAACACAAGGCTATCCAGAGATAAAAATACTCAGTGGTTGCCAGAGGCTGGTGGAAGGGAGAACAGGGAATGACTGCTAATGAGCAAGGGGTTTCTTTTTAAGGTGACAAAAATGTTCTGGAATTAGTGCTGTTCTACAACCTCATGAATATGCTAAAAGCCACTAAATTATGCACTTTAAAATAAGGATGAAAACATCGTACATGACTTATGTCTTAAAAAAAGAAAACAGAATACCCACAACACTATAACTACAAAGAAAGTATTAGCAGTAGGAATCAGAACACAAGAGTAGTGATGACCTTCAAAGACAACCTGCCAAGCTTACCTGAATGACTGCTTTCAAGTTATCTACTCCTTCGTCAAGGCCCAACTCCTTCCTGCTTATTTCTGCTTCTTTAGCCTCTTCCTGAGCCTAAAACAGAAACTCGTGTTAAGACTCCATGGCAACCTAGCATATACTAAAAATATACCCTTTCCCAAAAGCAAATCTATGGTGACAACCTTTCAATCTGAGGATTATATTGATTAAAAAAAAACACACACACAATTACATAAATATGTCATTCATTAAAAGACAACACTGCTGAGAGCATGCAGTAGATCCTCTAATTCCAATGAGCATTTCTGAGTTTTCCCCATTTTTACTAGCTAGGGGTAGCAAGTAGTTTAGAATTCATAAACCACATGGTGATAAGAATGAAAACAAAATGCCAGGAGAGGGAAGGTCATTTAACCAAGGATGCCTTCAAAAATGTTGCCAGGATACAGGCATCTCAAATTCCTCTCCTCTGGAAACCCACTTTTTAACTACATGTGACTGGTGGCAGCCTTGAGAGTAACCCTGGTTTAAAATTCCCAAGTAGTCAGAATAAACACTAACAAATTCAGTTATAACCTTTCTTTACCTAATTTCAAAGCCACCTTCTTCTGCCAAATTTTCCTAGGGCACTGATTCCAAAATACCACAAGCATACCTTGGGAAAGGTTAATGAGTTTGTTCTTTCTTTCACGGCAACACCACTATATAATAGATCCCAAACCCCACTAATTTTTCTAAATAGCAATCAACACTATTAATGCTAAGAATACTAATACATTAGGATTTTGTTATTCCAATAAAAAGTAGTTTCCATTGTCTACTTTCAGTCCTTGTATTCAATTTCTCTTAATACTGTATATCCACTCCCCAGGTTTGCTGGAGTCGCTAAAAAACTATGCCATCCACCTGCCCCCAACTCTAGGAAAGTTTCTCAAGATAATATCCTATTATTGGATACAGCTGTGCTCAGTTTCACTGGAGAAAATTATTACCAATTTAAACTGTGAGTGGGCCTAAACAGATGTTCCCTATGAGCCAAAATGACTTTTTTGTTTAAAGTAGGCTCCATGCCCAACGTGGGGCTTGAACTCATAACCCTGAGATTAAGAGTCACATGCTCTACTGACTGAGTTGGCCATGCACACCCCCAAAATGATAATCTTGATACACACTCCACTTTGCTCCACACACACACACACACACACACCTTTCCCCTGCACACCCCCAAAATGATAATCTTGATACACACTCCACTTTGCTCAACATACACACACACACCTACCTTTCCCCTGTATCTTGTATCAAAACCGCAGACCTACCTCCACCTCTAATTCAGCCATAGAAAATAAGGCACCCTACCCACCAGACATCTGAAATCTTACACTTCTCTCCACTGAGCTCCCACTAGGAAAGCCAGGTTGAGACAATGGTTACTTGAGTACCAGTCTGGTCTTCCCCCAAAAGACCAGAGACACAGATGCTTGCTGTGAATCCACGCCCTCCCAGACCTTCAGCTGTCTGTCCTTAAGCTCTTTTTCCCTGCCATCATCCCTACCCTCACCAACTCCACAGTTTAATAAGATACAGAAGCCACAATTCTTGATTCTTCACAAGTGTTCCTCTCCACGTGTTTGCAAAGACACTTTCACCAAAATAAACTAAATCATTTGTTTAGAAATGTATATTCTGGGTCCAATTCAACAATCAATCTGGACAAGAACAAAAGAAAATCTGTTTTAACAAGGCACAGTCCAAAAAAAGAAAGTTTAAAAAAAAACAAAAAAAAAAAAAAACAAAAAAAGAAAGTTTTAGTCACCCTCTCCCCATCTCTTAACCAAGTGAGAACCACTGTCCACCCTATGTATCTGGACTCCATTACTTTATTTCTTGAGGAAAGCCTTGACAAAGCTCAAGAACTGGCCCACGTAAAGAGTATTTCAGTGTTATTTTAAGATGATATTAAAGAATCCACCTAGCAAAATCCTCCTGAGCACAACATACTAGGGAAAAAAAGTTTCTCCTAATGAGCTGGTATGCTCATTTTATTAGAAAAGAAATGAGTTAACCCTTACTCTCTTCTTGGTAATCACATTTTTATTATTATAAATACCCTCACATTCTTTTTGGAAGCAATTAGGATATAAAAAAAGCATTCAAAATGCAAGATATAAAAAAAGCATTCAAAATCTTACCCTCCTTTTCCTTGCATTCATCTTTTGCTTTGATTCTTTGACAAAGGCATTATAGGAGGGGATCTCGCCAGCATCAATGGCTTGCTGAATAATGTTCCTTATCCTGGGTTCTTCTGTGTACTGCACACACAGCACAGATTCCATGATCTGATCCATGTCACCCTTGAAATCCAAATAGGCCTGTTTAATATCCGCCAGCTCTTCTTCAGAACCTTTGTATGTCTTTTCAAAAGCTTGAATGTCTTCTAGAGATATCTGAATAAGAGACATATGCTAGAACTCTGAGAATTTTAAATAAAAGAGTATACTAGTAAAGATACATGTAGGTGTTGAAATGTTTCTTCTCAAATACAATAGTTGCTTGAGTTGAAATTACTGCAAGGAACCACACTTTCTATGCCAAAGCTTTTCCAGCGTTCTCCCAACCTTCACAACTACTAAACTACAGACCCAGAAAATTTAAAGTTTCCCAGAAGAACTCAAGACTTACACGTGGATATGTAAAACGAAGCATTATCTTATAAAATATTAAACCACCTTTTCCCCTACAACTGCTTTACATCAACAGGAAATTAAAGACCCATTTCAATAAAAGTATGTGTGTAT